TCAAGCTGAGCCGACCGACAAAATTATTAGGTGTCTCTCTCTCTCTCTGTCTCTCTCTCTTGGTCATAAAACTCTGTTGCAGCATTGCCATAAAAATCACTTTTCGCGTAAATTGGATATATAAAATGTACCAGAAATCGGACAAAGACAAAAACACACGCGAAAAATACTGATAAATTTTTCTTATCGAAGAGATTTCCCTCTTTTTTTTTATCGTTCTCGGGAAAAAAAATAATTGCGAGAAAAATCTTCATCTCCGAATTCAACCGTATTTTCAGAACATTCGAACGGTACACACAGAAGTCGTTTCGTTTTCGTATTTTATAAGTTTTCTCCGAAATTATACGTAAAAAAAGCATATCACGATTTTAGCCATTATTATTTCTCGTATGCTCGCGGGGTACAAAAATCTATCTCGCGCTTACGATGTTATATTTCACAGAGATGACTTTAAGGTAACTTACAAGATCGAGTCTCCTCAATCTCTGAATATTGTGCAAATCTTCGTAGAAAAATATTTTGCCATTTCTCGGAACGGTTAAAACGCACAGTTTGCGCCGCGCGATATCGAAAAAAAATTTTCATATCTCCGTTAATTTTTTGTAATTTTATACCGATCTCGGTTGCATCGGCTTTAATGCAATTACGTACGTCAATTTTAATTTGCAACATTCAAACGAGCTTTTCGGGATTACCGTTTGACAGTGATTCGACAAAAAGTGAGATCTCTCTCGCCACACATGATATAACTGATCGATAATTAATGTTTGATGATATTATCGAGTGTGATTAATCGCGAGTAATTAACCGACCAATTTGACCAAAGATATAAGTATACGAACAATAAAGCGACATAATAATTATCTCGCGAGTGACGTTTTACAAGAATTCGATGAATTCCATCAAAACGTCAAAACGATATTGAAAGAAAATACTCGCGCCAGATGTGAAGACACGATTCACTTTCGCCGCGGATCGCTCGGGATTCACAAAGAAGAGAAGCACGCGCGTCCTGGTGATTCGACAGCACCCGATGCAAATCGCGCTCTAATAAATGCAGATCGATGTTTCCGTCGGCGATAAAAGGAAAGGGTCGGGTATAAGTGCACGCTTAAGTCGTGCCACGCCTTAATCGGTCCTGATAGACCATAGTAACACGAAGAATCTAATTGCACGGAGAGAAAAGAAACGCCTTTCGCGCGGCGCGGAAACGTGTGGATTTTCACTCATGCGCGTAGTACAATCTACATACGAATTTCATCAGCACGTGGATATTATCTGCATATATTGCACGCGAATGTCCTCAACGTCGTCGTAAAATCGCGCATCCTACGGTCGGTACTTTCTCCTTGCGGAATTGCGTGCGTCGTCGTAATAACCGCCCCGATGGTCACGCTGACAACATAAATATATTAAGGAGAATAAAACTGCGTCGGTTGACAAGTCACGGCTTTCTCGACGAAGGCAAAGGAAAAGAGGTCTGTTGACTCGGCTTTCTTTCTCGAGAGTCGTCGGCGGGGGTTGATCCTCCGCCGTCGACATGTCGTCCCAAGAATGAGAAGACAGCCGCAGTCACGCGATTCACGTGGTCGTACCGCTTTGAACCACCCACGAACCGAAACGTTTCGCATTTGCATCGGAAGCGGGTGAACCGAGAGTCCGCGGGGCGTACACCGAGGCGCTTTATGTATGCACGTCCTTGATGGACGGCAACAGGCGCGGGGTGGAAACTGTCCGGCAGGGAACTGGACGCGGCAGGAAGGACGGAAGGGTGTGATTACGCCGCCTGCAATTTTCAATGCGTTTCCCCGGAGTCACGGCCGAGACTTCTCGTCTTGAATTTCCGTCGAGATTGGTTCCGCGTACATACAACCGGTAATCCGCGATCCCTCGCGAGACGCGAAACGGAGGAAATAAAGAGCACGCGGGGTGAAATGAGGACGGTGAGGCGCGCAATCCCGTCTTATTGCGGATTTACCGTAAATACGGTTAAAAGAGACGAGACGTGCGCGCAGCGTCGCGTTGACCATTGGGGATAAAGATGGAAACGGATTTTCCCGCGACAAATAGCAATAGTTATCTGAGATCACACAAAGAGGTTGGTGAGTTATCGCCGCGCGCATGTGAATATGCGAAGCTTCTTTTTCAATCGTCTCGAAGCAAAATAACATTTGATCCCGATAATAAAACGATTGAAAAAGAATTTTATCCGAGTTTATAAAAATATCAGTGAATTTAACTTAGACAATGAGTGACGTTTAGATTACATTTACTTGTGCCAAATAACTCTAGATTATTCAATTCTATCTCTAGATTATTCTCTTCTTTTTCCTGAAGTGCATTTTGCTGTTTTCATTTCCAAGATTGTTTTAAAAATACTAGTGTGATCTATATTTTTATAAGCGAGATTTTAAATATGCGCTCGAAAAACAAAATGAGTCCATTATCTCGAATTCCGACTTGATAATCGCATCTTCACATAGTGTCTCACAACATAATTACGAAGTGAAATAAACCGTGATCTGTGAAAAAATCGAGTGCTGTGTCTCCGTCATCTGGTGTTTCTACTTTCATAAGCCTGATCCATTTCGTTCATTGTCAACGCCGGAAGAGAAAATGGAAAAAGAAGTTTAATAATCGGTCCGAATAATATGACGCGAGTGAAGGATTACGCGAAGGAGAAACGCGCTCTAATATGAATCCATTACTTTCGTCGTGACGAAGCTGATAAATGTATACCGAAGACAAAGCGATTCAACATAAACCGGAAGAGTGAGCGACAATCGAGTTTCTCATTTTGTAACATTAGGTAATACTTTAACATTTTGTAACACACGACAGGAAGTATTAAAACAAAACACTATCTCCTCCTTTTCTCCTCCTATATATCCTCTCCTCCTATATAAAAAAATCAGTGTCAGGAATAACGCATGAAAATCACTCAAAAAATAGAAAAAAAGAGAAGTGGAAAACTTATGACTGTAGTTGCGCAATACCGTTGGTTTTCCACTCCTTCTTCTCAGTATTTTTTGAGTGTAATTTTCATACGTTATTACTGACATCTCTCATATGTGTATTATATGGTTTGTAAGACATATATAATAACTGTCATCGCAATTTTATTAAAAATTATTATTATTATTATTTTTATTTTAACGTGTTGTATCAGTGTACACAACACGTTAAACATCTATCACCGCGATGACAGCTATTATATACGTCTTACAAATCATGTGTTGTGTTAGTATATTTAAAAAGTACAAATAAGAAAAACCATTTATCTATTATTTAGTGTAACACATATTTGACTGTGGATATCATACATAGTACTTTTTTGGATTGCGTTACGTTACTCACTTGCCAGCCCATCATTTTTTCGCATTTTATTCGACACCGACGCGCGAACTCTCAGCAAAATTACGCCTGTCTGCCAGCCATTCAAATCTATGGCCAAACTGAACGCTGTCCGCTGAAATTTGAGTAATGTTTCCCGCGTATGAAAACGCGTGCAATTTCGCGTCTACGCGGCGCCTTTACGCGAATTTCCGCGAATTCTGCCGGTTATTTAAACGCGCGTCTCGCAACTATGCATCCGACGTTAACGCCGACTTTCACATTGCAAAGAAAATACAATAAAATATTCTGTCTGCTGTTCACTCGCGCGTTTATTGCTGCGCTATGGTACAACGTGAGAAAAAAGTCAGTTATATACACCCGGTTGGTGTTTTCACATCGCGGACCGACTTAAATAGATTTTATTAATGAGATGCTCCATTTATTTATTTCAACAGTGAATTATATATCTCAACAGTAAATTTCTCTTTTTTTAGAAATACCTCATTATTGGACTCTCCAATTCTCTACTGTTATTAAAAAAAATAATGTAAAAATGATTTGACACAAAAACTGATAATTACTCGAACGATTAATTATTCAATACTTAGAAGATGTAATTCATTTCAATAATTAATATAATTTTAGGAAGTTTGTAATGATTTCTTCTAATCTTTATCGCAATAACGATTTCAAAACCTTCTTATATATAAATAAATGTTTATATTTACTCACATATATAACTGTCGTATGTCATCCATCTGATACACTGCGCTATTCTATTTTAGGGTTTCCGACATCAAAGTTGTAGTCAACATTTGTCACTGTTCGATACACTTTATTTTCACAAGATGCGAATAATAACACGACTGTAAATACGAGCACTTCCGAAACACAAAATAGTATCAATAAAAACTACTGACAATACGCGAGCGACAAGCATAATATGCATAAATAATCACTTCCGCGAGCTTTCCGAGATTATGACGAATGTCTTTTGTATCGCGTGTAAATTGAAATTCGGATTAATAACTGCAAACTGATCGGATAAATACCGCGTATGAGTTTGTTTTTGTTTTATTCGACGATACAACGTGAACTTTACAGCGCGAAGAGAACAACACACTCAATTCTAAGAAAAACACACCGTTGGATCTACTTACGGTCGATCGCACTTCTTCGCCGTCACTCGGAACATTGTCGAATATTTTAATATTATTTCGACACTTATTTTGATACCGAGATTATAAACAGTTAATCAATTATTTTACTTAGGGCGCGGAATAGCACTCCAGACGCGACTCCGAATTCGTGGAATTCCAAAGTCAACACGGAGTAACGGCGACACAACACTACGACTTTCGACGCGAACAACGAGCGTATTGCACAAAAATAATCACTTAAGTCATTTCTGCGAGATTATCGAGAGTACGATGATACTTTTGAATCGAATGTGGATCGAAATTCGAGTCACGATAACAGCAGATCGATCAAATAAATATCGCGTACACATCCGCGATCTATCGCAAAAGGGGCCACGCAGCTAGTTGCAAGGAGTGCGAGCGGAGCCGAAAACGCGCGAAGAAGTGCGATTGACCGTGATCCACGGCGTCCGTGCAAGTAGGTGTGTAGCCCCTTTCGCGGTGGATCGTCGAACGGAGCGGACGCGTACGTGGTGTTGTTGTTCAATCGATCTGCTATTATTGATCGGAATTTCGATCCGTGTGCGATATAAACATACATCACTGTGTTGTTAATAAGTTCGCGGAAGTAATTCAAGTGATTATTTTTGTATATTCTTCTCGCGTCGTTCGCGTCGCGTCGGTCGGAAGTCGAAGCGTTGCGTCGCCATCTTTACTGACGCTATGTTGGCTTCGAAAGTTCGCGAATTTACAGTCGCGTTTCGCGTCGTTTCGCGCTGAAATAATCAATTACTAATTGTTTCGTTTACAATTTCGTAACATAAATAAATGTCGAAATAGTGTTGCGAAGTATTTGGAAAGAGCACAACACCACGAAGAGTCACGATCGACCGCGATCCACTGTGTCCTTGCAATTAGGTATGTTTTCTTTGCGGTGTATCGCCGAACGGAGCTCCAACGCGTACGCCGTGTTTATTATTCAATCTAATTTGTTCGTTTGATCGAAATTTTTATTCACACGCGATACGAAATACGTCATCGTGATCTCGCGGAAAAGTGATGTGATTAATTTTTTGTAATACATGTTCATCGTTCGCGTCGCGTCAGTTTCTATCGACACCATTTTGTGTTTCGGGAGTGTTAGAATGTTTACATCTCGCGAGTGAAATGTTTCTGACATTAAAGTGAAAGACAACATTGAAATATAAACTTTGTATCGGAACTGTAGAAATAACATCGCGCAGTGTAGCTATCAAGTCAAAAGATGCATTTACAACAATACATATGTATCATATACGAGGTATGTATTACATACGAACGTTTATAAAATCACAATTGCGATAAAGATTGATAGAACTTCGATTAATTGAAATTACAGGAACACATCTTCAAACGTACAAGTAGATCATCAAATGGGAAGTGGCGTGGAAATGGAGTTGAGAACAGAGATAAAGCAGCTCCTCGGTGAGTGATTGTTATATTTATCATGCTTGAAGAGCAGTCGGGGGAGAAAAAAAATCACGCATGTTTGTGCGTCGAATCAGCCGTTATATTTCACACGCGTCTTTATCACAAAATTTCTATATGAACGCGTATTTTAGTATTTTTCACATATTCGACTCTCCTCGGCGCGAACAACGCACTCAACCGTAGGCATATCTTACGCCCGAAGTGCGCCTGAATCGCTATGTAAATATCAACAGTCGCTATGCAACACACGCTGTGTAAATAACACAGATTGGCAATAGATTGAGAGAACGAGATTTCTTTCTGCGTTGTGTCTCGTATTGAGTGAGTTTTCGTGTTGTGTCATTGCTTTTAATTTTATGTTCGTATACTCGTTAATCTTTTTCGTTTGCTCATTGATATTTCGACGAAGTAGAAGCACGCGAAAACTTGTCAAACAATTTTAAACCCCGCATATATATAATGTATATTTTGTCGAGCGCGGAATAAAGATAGTTGTTCCATAAAATTTTTTACTACACACGCGTATAACAATATTGCAGTCTTCAGCTGTCTTTCGCGTAATATTTTTGATATTAAAATATATTGTGTCGATTTATTATATATAATGACGAGACATTTGGAGGTATTTCGCACGATCGGCAAAATATGGAATACTGTTGAGAGCGTTGAAACGTCATGTTTCGCACTAGCGAGAGATTCCATTCATCATTGTGCGTTCGAAATTAAAATCTCTTTTTATTTTACGTCGCATATTTTACGCATATCTGACTGACATACATTTCTCGACGCGATTGCCGACGAAACAATAAAAAAAAAAAAAATAAAAAATAAAAAAAAAAAGAACAACGCAATACAATTTAATGAAAAATATTAATTGTTATCATTTCCACACTTGTCTCTGTTATACGAACGTTATTACGCAAAGTAATACCACTCAGCATAACGTCGTTGGGAAGAAAAGCCATCGATCAGTTCACTTTACGTCGCGGAGGCATTAAGTTGACAAACGCGATGAACTACTTTAATATTGTTCATCCTTGCGTGCGTGCGCGTGATAGGTATCGCGAAGACGATCACTTTACCTATTACAAACCAATCAAGAAGTATACTTGGAATGATAATAGAAATTTCCCCGGAGATATGTGCCGAAAGTGTTGCATTCTCCAACATGTGAGATAATATAGATAAACTGACAGAGTTGATAATCACATTAGATGTTTATTTAAAATAACACGGAAAAATATTTATTTGTTATTATAAAAAATTTAGAAGCGCGTCTTGGATTTATTCACAAGTTTTTTTGTCGTTAAAAATTACAATTCAAAAACTAAAAAAAAGAGAAGTATTCTTTGTGTTTTTTCTGCTTTTCATTCTGAAAATTAGAGTTTTTCTGAATAATAAAATTTATTCTTATTGAAAAATACATTTGAAGCAATTAAACATTGAGTTAAATTAATCCGCCAACCGATAAATCTAAATTTGGAATAATCTACATCGGACTGAAAGCAGATAGCGCGATTTGTGCGATAATATTAGATATGTTTAAAACGTTGACTAAATGGCAAAGGTGACGAAATCGTGACGTACGAAAGATCGCGACAATTCTTTATTAGAAGACTATTTCACACAAAAAGTGAACACACGTCATCGCGAACGTGCGCTCGCATCCATATTGTATGTATTATTCATCGTGGCACTCGTGTACGAGCGAGTGGCCCGGTCTCGTGACGAGCGTCTGCTCTCTCGTCACGGTAACCGAATCTCACGCCACCCCCCTCGAGAGTGGATTATAATCGGACGTCGATATTTCCTTGCTTCGCCCGGGATGTTCCTGCGGCCTTCCCGAACACATACACATACTCGCATACATATTTATAGCAAGAACTCGGTCGCGTTTAAACAGCGGCGCATTCCTGGCTATTCTTTGATCCGCGCACGTATCCCGCGTTACAGACTGTCGCGTCGCGCCGTCCAATCAGCGACAGATATATAATATTTTGCACGCTTCGGGCATTTTTGCGGGGACACAGAGTCTTTTTTTCTTTCTCTTTCTCTCTCTCTTTCTCTCTCTCTCCTCTCTCTCTCCTCTCTTTCCCCTCTTTCTCTTCTTTCTCTTCCGTCTCGTTGCGCCTCGTCGCCTTTTTACTCTGCGAAAAAAAACGTCGACATGATGAAGTCACGTACGTAGCTTAACGAACGCACTCATATATCGGCGGCGTGGCTCCTGTTACATATTCGTCTGTGCTCGCGGTTATTTTCTCAAATCAGATTGTGTAACTCGTAGCGATGTACCTTTCATCTTGTGTCTCCCGCGTTGCATGCACAATCTGCGCGCGCGAGCCGATTCGAGCCGAATTATTGCTTTGATTTGTTTCGCAGCGGGTTTACATGTGATGATTTCCGTTTTCGACGTATTACGTCCCAGTGCTGGTGTAACCGGCCGCAATGATATACCGGCACGTGTATGTACATACATCGATCGTTCCGCGAGATTATTCGCTTGGGAATCCGTTTTGGACCACAATACAGAGGGAAAGAGAGAGAGAGAGAGAAGGAAAAGAAACACGAGAAAAAAGCGGAGCTTTCTCGAGTCTCGATCTTTGTAGCGAAAGGTGTCGTTACGGTTATAACGACTCCACGAAGATTCCACCGACGAATGTTTTGACCTTCTCGTATCCTTGTTACTACTGTCTCTTGCTCTATCGACGACTATTACGTATCCTCCACAACTGAAGATTCGGGAACAAAGAATACGTGATCAAGAGAGAAGCAGAACCGGAGGATGGGAGAAGGACGGAGAAAGACAGAAGGACGGAAAGAGAGTAGTTCGCGAAGAAAACTTGGCAGAAAAGAGCCCCCAATAGACGACCTCAATGGGTCAGTCGGCATGGAGAGCGACGACAAACGACATCGGAGATAAGCTATCTCGTGCAGCGCTTTATCGTCGTGGAGACGGTTAATGAGGGTCCGCTGATAGATGATCATTTTCGCGTAGCTACGATCGGTAGGATCCGTTTAGATTGTCCTCTTTGCGAGCAATTTTCACGCGTAACAGGCTCGGGTGCAGAAACGAAACAATCGTTTAAATTTAGAACACTTATCGATATATTTGTTGGTCTATAAATGGCATCAAAAGAGAGAGTATAAATGTTTTTAGTGAAACTGAGAACAATATTCGTTAAATATAGAACTTGTTTGTGTAAAAGAAAATATCGATTAATTATTACAACACACTTGTGAAATGTTCAGAGACCGCTGCACGTCTTCTCACAATTGAGGAATAAACACGCGACTCGTAACAATGCTGAGAATGGTAGTGCGTTAAAAGTGCAAGTTATTGCGTGCACGTAGAACGAAGGTTTTCAGGATGCGTAGAGGGCGCAAGAGACGGATAAATAGCTGCTCCGTGTTTCCGTTGAGGCCGCGCGTACACTTACACGTTCAAGAATGAAAAATGCTCTAAAGGATAGCGCAGCGTACCGGGATAATTTTCCGCGTCATGCTTGAAATATGGCACAACGGCGGCGGTTACATTATTAATTCCTGCGCACGGGCGTTACATGCAACACGCACCGCGCCGCGTTTCCAGTTGGATTCGAGTTGCAACTCTCTCGGCCAGGACGAGGTAAAAGCCACGTTTGTGATTTAGGTTGGCGGTATCGAATGTGGTAATTATTAAACCAAAGCCGGGGGAAAATTTCATCGCGCTCGCGCGTGCAATACAAGCAACCCGTGTAATAAAGCACGAAGTGCGGCGCGGTTACTTTATACTTCATCTCGCGTGGTCCATTTCTATGATTCGCTTTCACGTGACGCGACGCAAACAACAAAAATAATCTTACAATTTTTTTTAATAACGTCGCCGCGCGATTAAATTTAAAATCCCAAAGCTCTTTTTAAACGCGAATAGTTTTTCCTAATGTAATTGCATTATTCTCTAATGTAATTATATGCCATTATTAAAAAAAGAAGGAAAAGTTACGGAACAACATGCGGAGTAAGAGAGATTAAAATTTATGAATTCTGTTATGGAAAATTCGCGTAATCGTAGAAAAAACTTCCAATAAAACAGTCATCTCATAAAAAAATCTCATCATTTTTAAAATATTATAATTCTTTTTTGAAAGTAATAAATTTGAAGTTAAAAGTCGGAGAGACAGACTTCTCTCTCATTTTAGATTCCATTTACGCTTGCAAATTTTTATGTCTCTGTAGTCTCTTCTGAAGTTAGGATGAATTGTAGCGGAAAATTTTTATTAAGATATGCACATTGCGATCGAGTGCAGGAACCACCTTTACGAGACACTTATGCCGTAATCATGAAGGTAACAATTTGAGGGTAATTCGAACTTTTGCCCGCCGTATAACCCCCGTGGTCGCTATATACTTTCTTTTACTGAGAATTGAAAAGTTTATACGAAGTACAACGAACTCGCCCATTTTCGATATAAGAGTTCGACGGTGGAATAACTGCGTATTCAGGAGTTCCAACAGACAGCTAGCATGTCTGTGTGTGTGTGTGTTATCAAATTCTAAAGTCGTCCGCAACCGACTTGTTTTACTCATGCAGCGATATTGCGCGACCTCCTTTGGAAACGTGTTAAAATAATTTTTATGTGTTTCTACCTTCTGTATATTTTTGTTGTGATAGCAGATGCACTCTACGCGTAATAATTTTATATTAATAAACACACGCGTGCTTTTTATTAACCTGATTCAACTCGTAATTTAAAATTAGAAATTGTGTATAAAAAACAATAACACGTGTGGACACAGATGTTTCTATTTTGCATAAAAATAAACAAAAAAGATAAATGTGGATTTTTATATTGAATAAAAATTTGAAGTATCAAACGCGCGTGTATTGACGTTTGATAAATATTATCAGTACGTGCGTATTTTCTGCACATTTTTTAACGTGTATTACGGTCTCGGTAATAAGAATTTCGTGAGACTTGACGAGAACGACTTATCGAGACGCAATCGAGCCCAGG